AGGCCAGCAGGAAACGCTACATCCCCTGAGGCACTGATTTCATGGGCAGGAGACCCTGCAGGACAGAGGTGTGGTTGCACTCTGAGAGGTGACGAATTCTTGCCACTCCCTGAGGAAGAGAGGTGCCTGAGAAGGGCCTGAGAGTCACCCTCTGCAAGGCCGCAGTTCCCTGTCAAGTGCGTGTTGGCCTGCAGGGGGTGTCACGCCCAGACCTGCAGGGGTCCGAGAAACAAGGCCTCCCAGAAAGTCTGTGCTCGGGAGTGGGCTCAGCACCCACTCATTCTCTCAAAAGCTTATTAAGTTAGAAAGGTAATGCTCTTTGTTGCAAAACTCATTCCCACTAAAAAGTCTGTGACGTGAAAAGCGAAAATCCACTTCTTGCTCTCCCGGTGCTCAGAGGCAGCCACTGCTGTGGGTGGGCGAGTGTTTTCTGGACCTCTTAATCTGCTTGTGTGCATGTCCGTGTGCAGGGGTGTGAGAGTAGTAATACTGTGCTCTTTAACCCAAATGGGGACATTTTATAGGACCCGTTTTGCACCTTTTTGTACAACACAGTGTCATCAACAGTGGCACCAAATACAGAACTTCATTCTTGCCCACGGCACAGACACGCGGGGACCCGTTGGGCAGTGCCCGGATGCGTGCTCAGTTGCTCAGCCATGCCCCAGCTGGTGATGGGTGGGCTGCTGCTCCTTGCCTCGGGGGCGGACTGTGCGCGGGGAATGTCTGTGCACATGGACCCTTACTCGCCTGTCAGAGTGCTTCTGAAACCTTGAACTCGGGGAGTGGGACTGCCGGGGCTGCTGCCGAGTGCCCTCACTGCCGGGGTCGCAGTGACATGTCCAGCCGCATGGTGGGAACGTGCCTGCGTGTCACACTGGCACCAGCACTAGGCACTACCAACCGTTGTTTTTACGATAAAATGATAGGTGGAAGAGGACGTCTTTTAACACACATTTCTCTGCCCACCACTCCTTTGTGCTCTTGGAAGGGAAGCTGCTTTTTCCCTCCAAACACGTTTCCTGGGCCCTTCTGGGGTTAGGCAGCCAGGCCTTCAGGCCTCCCACCCAGCTGCTCAGCTGCCCTCCACTCTCACTCCTGCATCCAGAATCTCTGTCCCTAATCCCTCTCCCTGCACCTGGCACAGCCCCGCCCCGTCCTGATCAATGAGGAAAGGCCGCCTGGCCGTTGGTCCCAGCTGAGAGGAGGCTGGCAGAATTTCATTTCCTGCGCACACTTGTCTGGGGCTTGGTCAGCATTCTGGGCTCTGGGGAGGCTAAGTGCTTCTAATTTTCTCTTTAATTTGAGATGATTAGGGCGTTGGCTTCTGTCATCACAGAACCTCAGAAGGGAATTCTAGTTCCATCCCCTCTACGCTAGCCTTCCTTCCAGGCTTGGGGCCACTCCTAGCTCTGCTAATGGGCAGGGAAAATGTGGCCTGTCCACCCTTGCTCAAGGAGCTCTCTTCTTCTTCTTTTTAAGATTTTATTTATTTATTTTTAGAGAGAAGGGAACAGAGGGAGAAAGAGAGGGAGAGAAACACTGATCAGTTGCCTCTTACACACCCCCAACCAGGGGCCTGGCCTGCAACCCACGCATGTGCCCTGACTGGGAATTGAACTGGCAACCTTTTGGTTCACAGGATGCTACCCAACCCACTGAACCACACCAGTCAGGGCAAGGAGTTCTCTTCTATCATGAGATGCCCCTCAGCTTCAGGAGGGTACATGTGCTAAAGGAGGGGCAGAGGGAGCACGCCCTGACCAGCCCATGGAGTCAAATGTAGCATGACCATGGACTGGCGGGTGGTGGGACGGCTGGTTGGTCTGCACACCCTTGAAGAGCTCAGTGTGTAAGGGCTTTGGGAAGGCTGCGCAGGTTGGAGGGGTTATCTCTGGGATTATTTTCACGTGTGGGCTGAGCTGGCCCAGGGTGCTCCAGGAGAGACGGGACAGTTGAATGTCTTGGTGGTGGTTGGTATTAAGGCATTGTGTCCACAAGTGGTAGACACCAGGCTGGAGCTGGCTCAGGCCTGACTCTGGAACCTGAGAGATAAGCGAGCCCCTGGGCCTAAAAGCATGGAGATGGCAGGCGGGGGTCCTATCACATCAGGGACCCAGTTACCAGAGCCTGTGGGCCAGAATGTGGACCAGGTAGAGTTGGTGCACCAGATGGAACTGGTGCACGAGGTGACAGCCGGACCAGCCACAAGAGGGACATTCTGAGTGCCAAAGGGTGGGGCTGGGTCTGTAGGCTGTACTGTAAGTGGCTCTCTTGTCCAATGAGAGGAAGAGAGAAAGGCAGGGCCTGAGAGCTTTGGTCCTGGCAAAGGGTTGGGAGCCCAAGAAGCTGTGAAATACTCTCCATCATTGCCCTCTATTATTCTGTGCCCGGCCCACTGCTCCGAAATTGGGCACATAGCCCTGAACTGGCTTTCTGACCTCTGGGGACTGCTGTCCACCCTGCTGCTTCTACACGGCCAGGCTGGCCAGCCACCTCCCATACCCACTCCTTTGGGCAGGAGGCTCCACACTGCCATGATTCGTAGGCATCTTGGAGCCGGTCAGGGGCGACGGGAGAGCCTTAGCCATTCAGTACCATGCTCGTGGGGAGAGATCTAATGCCGCGGGGGCAGGAGTTCAAATCCTGAGTGTGCCAGACCTCATGTTCTCGGTCAGGTCGCTTACACCTCTGAGCCTCTATTTCCGTTGTGTGGAGAGGAGGGTAAGTACAGGCCCCACCTCCCAGGCTTGTTGTGAGAGTTCAAGGAGACACCTGTGGTGTGCCTCGGTGGTAGATGGTGTGAGCATCATCCAGAGCAAAGTGCTGCCAGGAAGACCACCGCAGTGGAGATCGTCGAGACTCACCCACAGAGAGTGTTAGGAAACTCAGCGTACCCAGGAAGGGCAGGAGGAGCCCCATCTGGGCACAGCCAGCCGTTGTTTAGTGACCCAGCGGGGTCCGGAAGGGCTGGATATGCTCTCTGTTGAGGGCCAGGGTCAGCAGTGGAAGGGCCGGGGGTAGGGCGCAGCCTGCCCAGGAGTGGGACGGAATTCATTTAGCTGGCAAAGTATGGTCCCTGGAGAAGTTAGGGACCAGCGAGAGCTGGAGTATAGTCTAGACACTCTTTGGAAATAGACCCAAGCTGTGACCCCCTCCTTTTCTGGGAACCTGGGAACTCCCCAACCTTCCCCACAGCATTGAACTCCAGCAGCCGTGTTCATTCCTCCCACCTGCTCGGTGCTGAGGCAGAGCAGGTAGGACTGAGGAGGACACCGCCCTGAGAGGCCGGTCGGGTCCTCTGGCCCGGAGTTGGTGTGGGAAAGGAGAGGTGCTGCTCAGTGTGTGCCGGCACTCAGAGCCGGAGGGCGGGCGCGTGAGCTCAGGAACTCCGTGCTGGGGAAAGCGGATGGACGCGCAGTGGGAGACAGAAAGAGGCCCTGCGCGCAAGGAAGAGGAAAGGGGAAGGGAGAGAAGAAGAGAGCTGTGGCCTTGCTTCTCGAAGGCCTTCCAGACAGCGTCTGGTTCCCAGCCGTGGGGAGGCCCAGCTGCGTCCCTGCTCATGGACTCTGGGAGACACCTCGTGTCCTTGCGTAACCAGCTTATTAAATGAGCTGGACTCAGTTAGGTGTAGGAGGAAACCAACTTTCCAGCCTACTCGTTTTCTTCCCAGTCGATGCTGAAAACCTAGCAGGCCCCTTCAGCTGCCTGCTGTTAGGCAGGACAAAGCCCAGGCGTTGCGTCCTGTACCCGCAGAGGGCACGACCAGACAGTCACACCCTAATGGCCACGTCGTCCCAAACAGCCCAGTGTCATAATCGGAAGACTGGGCTCCTGCAGCCGGACCAGGCTCGGGGGCCTGGGCTGGGGGTGGGCACTGGGCATCGTCTTCACTGGATCCTGTTGTCCTGCTTCCCCCACTGGCCAGCCTAGTGATGTGGCGCTTGGGTTGAGGGAGAAGTGAGGGGCAAGGGGTCATCTTCTGTGGCCAGCTGGGTTGTTGTCCAGAACTCGTGCCCCTGCTGTCTTTTCTCCCTTTTTCCTGCTGTTGCTTCAGACTTTCCCTTCTGGGCACCGCTGACTCAGCTGCCCTGAGAGGGTGAGGCTTCTTTTCCAGCTGACCACTTATGACTCCCTGATTGGCTGCTGGCCTCCCACACCTTCCAGGCTGCCCTCTGGTTCCTAGGAGAGCCGAGTCCTTGCCTCCCTGCCCCCACCAGTGGGCTTGCTGTTTGCTGCCAGTGAGGCCAGCTCTCGTGGCTCCCCGCCTGAGGCCTGAGACTTGTGGTGGGTCAGACAGTAGTGCTTGTGCTTGCCCACGCCAGACTCTTGGAGTGGTCCCTTGAAGTTCCTCTCTTGATTGAGAGTGAGGGGGCACACCACCCTCCCTGTGGTGGGGGGGACAACTCATTCCCCCACCCCAGGACATTTTCTCTGCACTTCCTTCACAGGCTGCTGGTAGGCCGGGTGCGGATGCCATGGGACCAGTCTGGGGTCACCACCTGTGGGGATGGTTTGGCACCTGCTCCAGCCTGGGGATATGAGTCTCGGGAGGCTGGATAAAAGCGAGGCAGAAGGAGAGACAAGTGTTCACACTGAGGCAGAGAAGGGGGCTGGAGTGCAGGGACAGGTGGACCTTGGTGAGCACGGGACAGAAGTCCTTACTTTTGACCTGAGCAATTGAGTAGATGGCGCCGTTTGGGGGAATGGGACCAGACCTGGAGGAAGGTGTTCTAGGTGCTGATCGTACTGCCTACGAGGCGTCTCCAGGATGTCCAGGCCACGTGGCAATGTAAGGGGGTGGAGCTCCACGGGACCATAGTCTGAGATACTGTCTTGGGACTTAGGGGGTGTCAGTGGGAACCAAAGATAGGGAGAGTGTGATTTAAATGATTCTGGTGTTTGTCCCTGGTGCTGAATCTCTTCTTGGTTTCACTGAAAGAGGCTCTGATATAGGGGGTCCCAGGAAGGCATTTTAAAACATTAACACGCAGCGTAGATACTTCCAAATACCACTGATGGCTTTTATTGCAGATTTGTGCCATTACAAGGATAATCGGGAATATATTAAAAATGAACCCTCCCTTTTATATACACAAAACACGCTACATGGTACACTTTGTGAGAATGCTGAGGTAATAGGCACACACCTGACACAGACAGTTCCAGACATTCCAACATCTCACACACCCCGACCCACTCGCCCCCCCAGGAGGTGATCCCTGGACTCATCTCGGCTCCCTGCTTGATGACCGCTCCGGCAGTGCCGAGTCTGACATTTCATAGCCAGCAGGGCTTGGAAGGCTACCTTGCTGTAACGCAACAGACGAGGGGCCGGTGGCCCCGGTTATTCAGTAACTCACGAGAAGTGCCCAGCTCTCATTTTTGTGGCACCTGCATCCTCCGGGGAAGTGTCGTTTGGGGATGAGATGTGGACTCTAGTTGGCCTGAGAGCACAGGACCTTTGGTCTGTAGCCAGCCGGGGGTCCCAGTGGTCAGATGATGGCTTCTCTTCGATTGAATGTCTCTGGGCAAGGTAGGTTATTATTTCTGTGAAGGTTAAAATGACGTGTAGGCTAATGTGTGAATGGGAAATACAAAACTGCAAATAACATTATCTGTGCAGCTGGTGGTTAGCTTTGGGCCTGGCCTGGCCTTTCCTGGCCAGGAGGCTGGAGCCCAGACTGTCCTCCCACTGAGAGGCTAAGGAATCGTGAAAGGACCGTGCGACCACAAAAGCAGGGAGAAGGCAGGAATGGAGGAGAGACGAGCAGAAAGGTCCCTGGAAGTAGAGTGGGCGGCCAGGGACTCAAACTCACAAGGCACTTAGGGGGCGGTGTTGACCAGATGAGTAAGCGATGGGTGGACGGGCAGGGGGGACAGTGAGAGTCCTGAGAATGGGGGGAGTATAGAGATGGAGATGGAGGGGGATTTTGAAATCTGACCAGGTGCCCAAAGGGGTCCTTAAGTGAGGAAGCTGGAAACCCGTGTGTGAGAGAGAGTGGCCTTCCTGGAGGAATTCAGCACGTGGACGCCAAGGGTCGATCTCGGAAGGACAGAGCTCTGCAGTCTGTGACCCGCTCTGAGCCTCAAGTCGCACGACCTGATGAAATGCTGTTCTCCTGAGGGCAGTGCTGTTTGTAAGAGCTCGGATATACGTGTGTTTAGGTATAGAAGGCAAACCTATATATGTATCTAGATATATTATGTGTGCCATATATCTAAATGCATATATATGTAGTATACACATAAGTGTGCAAGGTTGGCTCATACACGTGTATATTATGAAGGTATTTTGAAGTTGTGTTTTTATCGTAGGGACTTAATTAACTTAAAGAAGGACTGGTCTGCAGTCCTGTCTGGAAACCCGAGGGGCTGTCTTGTGTGAGGACCACTATGGGAACAGAGAACACTGTCCCATCCAGTTCCATTATTTGCCTCAGTGACTTGGGAAAACAGAATCCAGCACCTGGGCCTCCTGGGCCTCCTGGTCCTCCAAGCCCCCCCCAACCCCCCCAGCCCCTGGAGTGTCACGGAGTCGCTTTTTGCTCTGGGGCCAGCGTGTCAGGGCAGGCTCCTGGCGAAGGCCACCAGAGGTCAGGAGGGGGGCTGGCTTAGTGGAAGGTGTTGGGATTGGGCCGGATCATCATCACCACTTTCTTGAGTGAGTAGGAGCCTCCTCGGAACTCAGCCCAGTAGACGCCATCCTGGTAGCGGCTCCGGTAGTGGCCTCCGCGGTACCAGACCCCATTGAGGTTGGAGTGGGCGCAGGCGTTATACCACCAGCCTCCCTTCTGGTAGTGGGCACAGTTTCCTGCAGGAGAGAGGGGATGAGAAGGTGTTAGGGAGGAGGTGGCTTTACCCATATCCACTGCTTGCGTGGGGACTTCAGCAGGACCCTCCCTGGGAGGAGGGCCTTTGGAGCACGAACGCTTGAGAGGTGGACCGAGCTTCAGACCTGCCCAGACCTGTCTGTTGAGGCTCGGCCTTTTGACGAACGAGCTGTGTGATCTTGGGCAAATGACTTAACCTCACCGAGCCATCAAATTCTCATTGTAAAATGAGGGTAAATTGCATAATAATATGCATAATGCCTCCCGCACAGGACTGCTGTGGGAATTGAACAAAGGCACATATTACGCACTTAGCTCAGGGCCTGGTGCCAAGGAAGCGCTGGGGAGGACGGCACAGTGCGGGTTTGACCAGAAAATGACAGTGACCTGCGGTGGGCCGGGCAGAAGGCAAAAGGGTTTTTCCTGGGAATTTTTTTTAAGAGCTGAAACTGTTGGATCAGGAGTCTTTATAGAATGACAAAGGAAGTGTTTAAGAGAAAATTCTCCTTCCTCCCCAGCCAACATTCCAGCCAAATATTTTTTAATTTCATAAAAGAAAGATATTTTGATGAAACTTTTGGCACTATCCTATCAGTCCGGGTTTTTCTGCCAAGGACGAGCCGCACGGCACAGCAGCAAAAGCCTGGGCGAGGTGCAGGCAGCGCGCAGGGCACAGCCCCCACAGAGGACGGCGGCGGGGGCCACGCTGCTTGGGCTGCTGAGCTAAAAGAAGGGGTCCCCAGTTTCCCCACCAGGCTCAGGAAGCAGGCAGCCACTCAGGGAAAGGGCTGCCCCAGTCAAGCTTGTAGGCTGGGGGCCAGAAGGGACTGGTGGCCCTGCTCCGGCCGAGGCCTCGGGATGAGGGAGGAGGGAGCAGGCCGACTGAGGCAGAAAGCTGAGGGGAGACTCAGCCCCAGGCCCCGCAGAGCCCCGCAGAGCCCCGCAGCCCAGGTTTCCCCAGCCTGTTCCTCGGGTTCCTCTGAGCCACGGCTCAAGGCCACAAGGAGCAAGTGGCAATGTTGGGTTTGAAGAACAGGGAGAGCCCCGGTCAAAGAGCTGGCCTCCTGTCTGCCAGCAGAGGCCCCTACTCAGCTTGTGCCACATGTCTGCAGGGACCAGGAGCTCAGCCCCTCACTGTCCACTGACTATACTTCTCATGGGCCTGGCGGTAGCTCCTAAAACAATCTTCTCCCTGCTCCTCGTTGCCACACATGGAGGCTAAGTCCCAGACAGACTACGCAGGATGCCCAAGGGCACGTGACTGGTAGGGAGTGGGGCCAGCATTGTATTCCAGGGCATGTGGCCCAGCGTCTATCCATGGGGGTGTGTAGCCCAGACACTTGGTGCCTCGGGCAGAGAGGTGAGGTGAGTGCACCCAGATTGGCCATCAGAGGTGTAACTTGTACGACTTTTCCTTTTCCCTTTCTGTAAATGTCACTCTGACCCAGCTTCGCAAAGGGGATCTGTGGGCAGTGGGCAGAGGAGAGGACCTTTGGGGGCAGCGAGCAGGTCACACAGCTGGGCCCTGGGCTTCTCTAGTTTCCACCTGGATTTGATTGCATTGGTCCTACCTGTGTAGACATCGTGGTCCCTGTCCAGGGTGGTGAACTGCTTGCCATTGTGCCAAGTAAAGGAGTCACCAGCGTTGCCATGGTAGCGCCCCAGCCGTAGCTTGTAATACTCGCTCTCAGGCTCCAGGCGGAAGCTGGCATATTCTGCAAAGACCTTGCGGCCAGACCAGTCCTCCATGGTCACCAGCAGTTTGTAGTTGCCTTGGTTCGTCAGCCAGTAAATGTTCTCCAGGCCCAGCCAGTACTCGCCGTCAATGTTCCCAAACCCTTGCTGGGGAAGACGCCGGAGCGTGTTAGTGGGAGTGTGCAGGGCCCTCGCCAGCAGAGCCTGGCCACCCGACACTCGGCCCTGGACAGCGCGGCCCAGAAGCAGGTAGCACCTAAGGCCAGATGGTACCTGGTAGGCACCCGGTAAGCTGTGCTGCTCTGTCTGCAGTACCACCGCGTTGCTTGGAGGAGGGAAGCGGAGGTACGGCCGGGTGCTAGCAGTCTTTCCTACCAGGAGGATGAGTGTTCAGCCCCCTGGAGATGGGATCCCAGAGAATGAGCTCTGCAATTAGGACCCACAGGCCCCTGTGACAGACCCTTAGAAGCCTCTGGACTTGGCCTTTCTGGGTTGTGCGTGAAAATGTCTTTCCCCAAGGACACCCCAGCTGGGAGGAAGCTGCACCCCACACCCAGGCTCAAGCGAGGGGCCACCGCGTACCACCATTTCTAAATCCCCACCCTGTCTGCCGGGCATGGTGGCGTGGACTGCAGACTCTTGTCTCACAGGAGTCGTGAGTGGCAGGCAGGGAAGGAGCTGGTGGGCTGGCAGAATTGCCCCTGTCAGTGTCCTTCTTGCCACAGAAGTGTGCGGTTTGGGGTGGCACAGGCCTTGGCAGGTCCGCACGCACCTTCCCTCTGAGTGGCCCTTTCCCTGGTCAGTCAGGCTTTCCGGGAGGGCCAGTGTTTTTGTGAGTGGCACAGAGAGGCCTGTGGTCCTCACCTTGTATGTCTCCCAGTTCCTAAAGAAGTTGACAGAGCCATCGAGGCGCCTCTGGATGACAGTCCAGCCCCCGGGGTCATGTCGCTGGTCACACCACACCTGCATGAGCCGGTTGGTGTTCTCTGGCTTCACCAGGTAGATAGAGCTGGTATCATGGCCGTCCTCCAGGGCCTGCAGGCAGTCTCTCCACGGGCCTGGAACATAGACAGTATATGTTACAGCCTTCCCTGTTACCCATCACCAGAGCCCTGAGTCACACACACACACACACACACACACACACACACACACACCCGCCATGTACCCTCAGCAGCCACAGCCTCGGGGCAGTCATCTCCTTTATCCACAGGTTCACTTTCAGTGCCCACAGTCAACCATGGTCTGAAAATATTAAATGGAAAATTCTAGAAATAATTCATAAACTTTAACTTGCATGCCATTTTGAACAGCGTGTTGAAAGCTCACACCTTCCCATGCTCTCCCGCCTGACACGTGAATCACCCCGTCTGTTGGACCCACACCGTGCACCCTCCCCGCCCGTCAGTCACCAAGTAGCTGTCTCGGCGATCAGGTTAGCAGTCAGAGTGTCACAGTGCTTGTGGTTACTCTACTCAAACACGGCTCCGAAGTGCACGATTAGTGTGCTAGCAATTTGGAGGCGCCGGCGAGAAGCTGCAAAGTGCTTCCCTGAAGTGAAAAGGTGAACGTTACCGACTTATTAAGGAAAGGGAAAAAAATGTCTGCTGAGGTTGCTAAGATCCATGACAAGAACGAATATTCTCTGTGAAACTGTAAAAGAAAAAGAAATCTGTGCTACTTTGCTGAGAAAGAGAGCACATTCATGCAACTTACAGTATGTTGTTTGGGTTGTTTTAGTTTTCCTTACTGTTAATCTCTTACTGTGTCGAATTAATAAGTTAAACTTTATCATTGGTGTGTATGTATGTATGTATGAGAAAAACATATATACGGTCTGTCCAGAAGATATCCAACCATGTAATATGAAAAACAGAGACATTTATTGAAGAAGATACAAGGACTATTATACATAGGACAGCGACCCCTCAGTCCCCTTCAAAGCAGGCACATTGGGACCTCACACAGTTCTCCCAATTGCCATCAGCTGCCCCATCATATTTTCTTGAATCTCATCAATGGTCTGAAATCTCTTCCGTTTCAAAGGTGATTTTAGTTTTGGGAAAAGCCAGAAGTCATAGAGCACCAAACATGGGCTGTAGGGGTACTGAGTCACCGGGGTGATTTGATGTTTCACCAAAAAACTGCACGAGATGTGATGCATGAGCAGGCGCATTGTCGTGATGAAGCTGCCAGTCACCAGTTGCCCATAGCTGCAGACTCCTGAATCATCCAAGTAGTGTCCTCAGAGGGATGTTCAAGCTTGATGCAGAATTTGACGCAAATTTGTTGCTCTACTTGCTCAGTCATTTTGAATATGACAGCCACACAATATGCACGCTCACTCAACAGTGTCTACTGCCCCCACTAACTATGTACAGTGAAGTTGTCATTGTTCACGCATGTGCTTTCCAGTCCACTCTCTTTGGTTGCCAGGCTCTATCGATGTTGTGCTAACCATTCTCATATTAACAATGGCTGGACTTTTTCTGTCCACTGGACTTCTACTGGACAGACCTCATATATGGTTTGGTACTCTCTGTGATTTCAGACACCCTCTGGGGACCTTGGAATGTATCCCCCAAGGATAAGGGGAATGTGATATAAAGACAGGAGTTCAAGGGTAGGGGTCAGGATGCCTGGACTCCAGGCCCACTTCCCCCACCCCCACTCCCTCACAGTGTGATTTGGGCAAGCTTCCTTACCTCTCCGAGCCCTCGGTTTCCCCAGTTTCTAGAAGGGAGAGCATCCTTATCTCATCTGAGATGCTAAGGATTACTGAGATAATCTGTGTGGAGCTCCTGGAGTGATTTTTCTTTTAAAGTTGGATATGTTGGCAAAGAGACGTGTGCCCACTGAAATGCAGCAGCATCATCAGCCCTGCTCGGGCTCCGGCGGCCTCGTCCCTCCAGGGAGACACGCGCATGGCTCTTGCTGAGCACCCTGGGCCGAGGCTGGCCGCCGGCACTCACTCTGGCTCCACACCTGCCTTCTCACTGACGGTGCTCGGGGATGATTGCTGCCGTTTTTAGTAAATGGACTGGTGTGTAGTCACAGGGGCCCACCCAGTGCCCAAATTTGGCCACATGGCCAGCGATTTCAGGATGCTTCTGGGGCTTAGACACTGGCCTCAAAACGTCTTTGGGGAAACCAAGTTCTTCTCCTGCTTCATCTGTGTATTTTCCAAGCAGAGCTCACTTGGGGCCAAATGCTCGTCGTTACCACGTTCCGAGGTGGTCGTTCCATAGGCAGGTCTCTGAACTTAAAGGGCGGTGCCCACAATGCACCCCAGGCAATGCCTCTCTTCTGACTCTGAGACCAGATGCATTCTGGGACTTTGTGGGACTTCACTGGGCTTGAGCGGTCCTGTCTGAAGGTCTCCCCGTCCCCCACTCCACCTCCCCTGGCGGTTTCCTGTGTTTGGTCGTCAGTGCCATCAGCCAGGAGGTACAAACTTGAGTTGCCAACGTGCAACTATGCCTGGTTCTTCTTCAGTTATCTGAAGAACATTGGAAAGGTTTTTTAGGACCTAGCCATTGAACTGAATATTTATTTTATTAACTTTATATTTTAAAATAAATAAAATCATGACACTTTGCTTCTGCTTCTCTTCAAAATATTCCCCAAACCGAGATGCTTAAGATCAAAAGTGCTCGGAAAATTCCATCTCGTTCTTTCTATTAATGTGTGTGTTTACTCAACAAGTATTTATTGAGTCCCAGGCCTGGCAGGTACTGCGCTGGCAGCCGGAGCCCAGGGCAGTGTGGGGCTGCTCTCGTGTCCAGCGAGGGAGGAGCCCACCTCGCCCGCCTTCTCTCCACCTCCGTTCCTGGGGAGTCTTGTCCTTCCTGCCCTGTGCGCACGGGAGGAGTGGGGGCGTGGGCAGGAGGCGTGGGCAGGAGTGACTCCTGCCGCGGGCGTGCTCAGCTTCACCTGTGCAGATCAAGCTTCTCAAATTCCTTCCTGGCCGGTGGTTGGGCTCGATTAGTCCATGTGTGACGGCAAACCAGGGAAAGTGTGGGTCTGGGGGCTTTGCTACACACCTCGGGTGGGCTTTTCTAAGTCCTTGCAGCTGTGCTTGAGTGGCCTCCCTGGAACCTGGCAGGTAGGCCAGGGCTGGCCTGACCCGCCCCTCTGTTCACAGTGCCCAGGACAGCACTGAGAAGAAAGGTTGGCGTGGGCGCTTACCGCTGACGGTTAACCCAGGGCACGCCTCCCTTCAGCCTCCAGGACTGGGGCTTGTCACCCATTTGCCTGTTTACCAGCTTGCTCTCCCCTCCAAGTGGTGGGCAGTATCCCACATACCACCTGGCTGCAGATGTGGCACAGGGGGCTGCTTCCCTTTTCGCTTTGTGCCTCTTCCATCCTGGGAAGGGAGGCTAGGCCCCAGCAAGAGCATTCACGAAGGAGAAGAAGGGTTTGGTTGTGTTCAGCCCACAGTCCCAGGGCCCAGAGCTGAGAATGGGAGTCTGTCCCCGGCAGCTGGAGCAGTGTGCAGTGGGTGTGGGCGGCCTCCAGCCTTGACCGTGTCAGAAGCACAGGAGGGACTTCTGGGTGCGAGGACTGGTGCCGGAAGGCCCAGCAGCAACCTGCGGTATAATACCCGCTGGAAACCAGCAGCCAGGCCCCTCACCACAGGGCTCCTGTGCGGTTCTCAGCGGGAAGGCGGCTTTGAGAAAGGTGCCACGGGGAGCGAAGCTTTGGTGGTCCCTGGGAGGGGGCACCCGCCGGCCTGGGCTACTTTTGTCAATGATTTTAGCTTTTCCTGGGGCAGTTCTACAGAGAGCTCTCCTGAAAAGGCAAGTGTTTTCAATGTTCTGGGGTCATCGATCCCTTTAAGAATTTGGGGAAAGCTCTAGACCCTCTTTTGGGCTTTTCGGCATGACTTGCTTTCTGACACCACACGTCAGGTACAAAATGGTGTTACCAAAGCCCCCCATGTGTCCCTGTGCCCTGCCTCTCTCATGGTAGCCGGGACCCCACATTAGCTGCCATCAGTGACCCCGTTTCCACACAGGTTGCCCTCAGAGACGCGCACAGGGCTCCAGCAGAGCTCCTGCATTCAGACGGAGTCCCTTTTCCCTCGCAACAGTCAGAACATTGGATGGTGGCTGAAAATCAGTCAGAAAAGTATTAAGCATAGGAAATTGGCGGATGATCAGATAGCGGAAAATGGCAGCAATAAGGCGGCCCCATGGCTCCATGGAGATGGCTGGTCAGAACGGCCTGCTTTGCTGAGAAACCTGTGCCTACGGCCCGTACACAGTGTTGCTGTGGAGGGTGAGGCGAGGGGCCCAATGCTAACTGAGGGGCGGAAGTGGGGGGCTGGGGCCAGGACCCCAAACTCAGAGGCAGGAGCCCTCAGCTTAAATCTCGGTGGCCTTATCTCCTCGCAGTGGGACTTTGGACGGGCCCTGGAGTCTCAGTTTTTTGTTCTGTGAACAGGGGAAGGACCCCACCTCTTCTGAGGGTCTCGCGAACGAACGCAAGAGCTCCCAGCAGCACAAGGCCAGCCAGGGCAGGTGCCAGGGAGGCTCTCTCTTCCTTTCCTCCGGTAGGTGAAAGCCGATAGTTTTGAAGTGGTCCACTCCCCACCCCCCTACCCCCCACCCCACACAAACAAGCCACTGTGTCTGCTTTTGACTTTCCAAGACTAAATGTAAGATTATTTACTGAGAGATGTTTTCCACAAAGGCATATTTCAAAAGCCAGGACTGCAGTGGAGAGGGCCACAAAGATACATTGAAATGAGGGTGGAAATCTTTTTTGTCAATGAGGCAGCATTTTCAGCGTGCATGGGCAGAGCTCTCCCTTTACAACAGCGCCGAGTGCCCGGCGGTGTTTCCCTTGGCTCCCCTTCTGAAAGGGCAGCGGTGCCGCAGCGCCAGGCCAACACTAACTCAGCAGCACCAGGGCTCCGAGCGGAGTGAGCACCCCGACCTCCTCTCCATAAAGGCCGTATTTACACTCTCGGTGGAAGGGCGGCCGGCATGTTCCACGTGAAGGGACTCGCAGCCACCATGGTCGTGCTGAGCCTGCGTGGCCCCGTAGAGATGGG